CCCGTCTGCCCCGCCCAGGGCTCCCTGGCAGACATTCATCATTCAGCTTTCCGTTTAAGTGTGGCCTCCTGTTGCTTTCTTCTAGCACTTTCACAGGTCCTCCCCCAGGCAGTGGGGCCAGGATTTGGTAGCTGGTGCTGAAAGAAAACCCTTGAATGCATTCTTGCCCTGGGGCTGTGCCAGTGGCAGCTTTCACTTAATGGGACAGAGAGACTGTTCTGTGACATCTTATTCAACATTGTGCCTTTCTCCTGTGGCTCTAACCTTAGATCTTCTCCCTGTTCATCCTCTGCCATACAATAACAAAATAAAAAAAAAATAGAGATCATCTACCCAGAGGAATGCAGTCACCACACACAGATTTGCACACACTTTCAGAGGTTGGTTGACCCACATTAATAACTGGGCTCCTTCAGGACAGGGGCTAAGGGGCTATCTTATCCCTGTCTGTACCCCCCAAGACCCAGTCCAGAGGTGGTACTTTCGACTGAAGAGGGAATGCCAGCTAGAAATGAGTGTTTCTCTCATTTCAGGATCATGATTTTGGCAGGAGACACGTTGCCCGTTGAGGTATACTGCCATCTCCCAGTTATGTGTGAGGACCGGAATTTGCCCTACATCTATATCCCTTCAAAGACGGTAAGGTGCACACAAGCCCATGAGCCCAATCTTAGCACTGGAGGAAGGGGCTGGGATCAGGGCTGTGGCAGCAGGTCACAGTGGGAAAGAGTATGAGCTCTGGAGTTAAGACGGGCCTCGACAGCTTCTTGGCTCTGCTGCTTCCTAGCTGGGGGACTGCAAGTAAGTTACCTCTCTGCACTTCCATTCCCTTCTTGTAAAATGGGGATCCCCTCTTCTGCGGCCTGTGAAAATGAAAACAAGGTAAATGTGGACATGCTTTATCAGCTAAGATGCTGTGCCCGTGCTGGTCCTATCAGGTGGGTGCAGTGCTCAGAGGGGGTGTTTTAGGGACCGCAGCTGTCCTTATCCTTTCAGAGCCAGGTCTAGGGCACAGGGACTGGGTGATGGCAGGACCCTGGAGAGCATATAGACCCTGCTGGGCTGGAGCCCTTTCACAGCTGCCATGTGGGAATTAGGCCCAGTGTTGCTGGACCACTTGAAAATTTGCTAAGTTTAAATGATGGCAACCAATTTGAAATGTATTTAAATATAGTGATGACCGACTAGCACATGTCTGTGAGCCCAGTTAGGCCGGTGGGTCATCAGTCTGTGACTCCCTGGCAAACAGCCCTCCTTTCTCCTTTGCAGGACCTGGGTGCAGCCGCAGGCTCTAAGCGCCCCACCTGCGTGATAATGGTCAAGCCGCACGAGGAGTACCAGGAGGCCTATGAGGAGTGCCTGCAGGAGGTGCATGCCCTGCCCCAGTCCATGTGAAGGACTTGGGCGGCCACCTGGGCACCTGCTCTGGAAGCTGCTGGTCTGGCGGTGGGCCGGCTGGCTACCTTCCTGCTGCCCACTCAGCATCTCTCCAGTCCCCTGAGCACGTGTTTTTCCCAGGAAGCTCCAACAGCTATTTCGTGAAGACAAAGCCATCATCTTCTCCATAGCACTGTTTCCTGCTGAGTTCCTTGGCATTCAGCTCCAGGGACGAGATGTGGGGGAAGTAAATGCTCAGACTAAAATGTGATGAGTCTGTGGGTGTTCTTTCAAGCAGTAGCTGCTGGTGGGGCCAAGGAGTTGGTGGGCAGGAAAGAGTGAAGCAGCCTTTCTCACAGAGTGTTTAGTACCAGTGCCCAGCCACCAGGCTGGTGTTAAACTCAAGCTGAGAACGGACTCCTTGTGCTCACCCTGAGCTTTCACCTCCTACTTTCAGAGTAGGTGGGAGCTGCAGGATAAGGCAGCTGAGCCCAGACCTCACTGAATGGAAGCCTGCAGCCCCAATGGGGACACCCGACTCCTCTTCCCCCACGAACCTTAAGTGCCACTGGAAAGCTTATGGAAGCAATTTACCCACCCCCACAGGACACTTTAAATAGGAATATGAAGCTAAATACAAAACCCCAGGCCATCTTTCCTGCGTGGCATAATAGCCCTGGTAACCCAGTCCCTCCAAACATTTTAAACTAAAGGCACCCTCCTGCTCTCCAGGAGTACTGGTACTCCAGCACAGGACTCAGTACACACAGCAGCCAGCCTTTAGGCACCCTGGAATAAACTGGTTAGAGCCTGGACCTCAGGGTCAGATTTGCTTTAAACCCCAAGCTCTCTCCTTTACAAGCTGTAAGCTCTGTTGTGCAAGTCATCTCATCTTCCCAAGCCCTGCTGCAATGATTTCTAATATGCAGAAAAGGAGATTTTATGTATGTATGTATGTATAAAAGCATCTTGCCCAGGGCCAGCCAGGTGGCTTAGTTTGTTAGAACACATGCTCTTAACAACAAAGTTCGCATGGGATGGTGGGCTGCGCACCCCGCAACTAGATTGAAGGCGGTGACTGGACTTAGAGCTGAGCTTGCGCCCTCCACAACTAAGACTGAAGAACAACAACTTGACTTGGAGCTGATAAGTCCTAGAAAAACACAATGTTCCCCTCCCCAACTCCCCAGTAAAAATCTATAAATAAATAAATAAAAATAAAAGCACCTTGCCCAGAGACTGACATCTCCCAGCTTTTTCACCCAACCAGAGATGCAGGTTCTTCCTGACTAGGCACTGACTGCCATACTCCCACCAGCAGCAGCCACCAAGCCATGCCCAGTGCTTGTGTGCAGTGGACATGTAGTAATTGTCAGTGAAGCTAAAGGCAGGCAAGGAAGAAGTCCTGTGAATATACTTGCTCAAAGTTATAAAACAGCATTCAATTCTAACCTGGACTATTTACAGTGGGCAATGGACACATACAGTTGTGAGGCTACCAGAGGCGTGGGGACAGCGTTGCATGGCAGTAAGAACTGGCTGAGGGCAAGGATGAAAGACATCTGCTGCTGCTGCCCAAGTCCTCTGCTCCTCTATCAGCTGCTATCAAGTCAGTGACAAATATAAACGGAGACAGCAGGAGTACAGAGGCCAGCGTCTCCTTCCCCTTACAGCCAAGGAGCCAGTTGACCGGTGCAGGCTGGTTCATCAACCTCCTTGGCCCGTGCCCGTGGTGGCACTCAGCCAATTGCTCTGTAAAGAACCACAATCCACTAGGACAACCACCCCTGTGAGACAGCAAGGCTCATGGGTGAAAACCCCTTGAAAACAAAGTTCCTTCCAGGCAGGAGTCAGAATATGAGGCGTTTCCCATCTGCTGGGTTCTGCTCCATGGGACAGTAGGGACACTTCAGCCTGCAAAGGAAAGGAAACCAAGAACGTGTCAGGCGCTGGCCAGCAGGAGAGCCACGCCAAGCAGGAGCAGAGCACGGGGAGCTTACTTTCCTCCACTAATGAGTTTGTTGAGTGCATCTCGGGAGATAACATGGCCACAGATGAGCTTGATGGGAGGGTTGGAATCTGAGGTCTGCTGGCGGAGGATGGGGCAGGCGAACACCGAGTGGTACCAGCACTTCATGCCTAGTTCGATCTCAATCTGGGGAGGCCAGCCGAGGGGTAAGTCCCACTTCCTACTGTGGCTGTCCTCCCCAGCGCCTTCGGCCCACACCTTCCCTGCATGGCTTACCGGTAACTCGTCCTTGTGACTCCAGACCCCTGTGCACTGCCTCTGCTCAATCACAGCTTTGATGTTCATCAGCACGGGCAGCGCCACACAGCCTGAGGCAAAGCTGCAGAATAAGGAGCAGAGGCTGGAGTGGCCAGACCAAGAGCCCGGCAGACAGACCAATGGACAAGACACTGTCACAGGCATGGGACTCGGGATGCGATTCTAAAGTGGCACATGGTCAAATGGGTCCTTGAAAATCTGTCATAAAGGTGGCTCATAAAGTGCCACATAGGTAGTTACATGTGTCCAACTCTAATGCACCCCCAAAACTTGAGAACCTATGAGAAAGACAAAAGGAAGATCCAGGGGCAGGTATCTGCTCATCCAAACCACTGAAAAGTCCCTGGTGTGATGGGGTCAGTGATCAGTTGGAAAGGGCCCCGGCCTGCATGTCAGCCCCACTCTGCTGTCATAATGCACTTCTATAACTGGTTATCAACTGGGCACTTAGAAATGGGGAGCAGGTTCAGATCTCAGTGAGCTGACTGGCTGGAGCCTTGTACTAAATACCTACAATACCCAGGGCAGCTGTCCTGTCTTGGTGCAGACGGTGGTCCTGCTGGGAAATACTGTCCTGCAATGAGTCTACCACACTGGGCGGAGCATGACACTCACAATCAGTCTAAGTAAAATGCACTGGGACACGACCCACTGTTGTGCAGCATGCGGCCCTGGGGTCACATCCACATGCCTTTTATCCCTGAGGCCCTAGGCAAGTTCATCATGCCTGGAACCTGTTTCCTCATCTGCGAAGAGAGGATAATAGTACCTCTAACTCCTGGGTCACTGTGGAGTCATGAGAAGGGTCTCACTGTGCAGAAGCCTCTGAGTGAAAGCTCGCGATACATGTAACTCAGCCACTCAGGTCTTCCCGAGGGGAAGCAGCGTTTGAAAGGTGAGGCTGAGAGGAGGCCGGCTGTGGAGGGTCTGGTGAGAGTCCAGTGGTGAAGTGCAGGCGAGACAGGGACCTCACAGTACAGGAATCTTGCCCCTGCCACTAACCTCGTGGTGACCTCGGGCCACAACTCTTCCTAATCTTGGTTTGTCCAACTGTGGAAACAGGTCATTCCTATCTGGGGAAATGACTGAGCCAGCTTAGGTCTGTGAAGGCACTGAGCACATGCCTGGCATATGGCAGGGCCTCGGCCAACTGGTTCCCTTGAAACCATCCCCTTCGTGCTGCCCCGCAGGGCTAGCTGTACCTGACGCTGAGGGGAGACTCCACAGAAAGCCCCAGCAGGGAACAAGCATCACGGGTGAAGGTCTCCCGGATCTCGGCCCAGTGGCTGCTGTCCAGGAGGTGGCAGTAGGGCGACTTCTCCAATCCCAAGCGCAGGTACACCAGACTCCCCATCATCACCTGAATCTCTACAAGGCAACAGGGCACAGCTGAGGGGCGCAGGGGCCCAGGAGGCAGCCTTTCCCCCGAGCTCGGCGTCCAGCCCCAGGATGGCAGGATGGAGAGCAGGCTGAGCCCCGAGGCTCCCAGGCACCTAACCTGACCAAGCAGGGCCTGAAAGACTCTCAGGCAAACTGGTTTTCCCTAAAATCCAATGGGGCTGCGTATGTGGGATGAGGACAGGCACCACCACGTGTGTCAGGGAGGTGGGTCCCAGTTCTCTTCCTATCCTTCCAACTGCATCAAGGAATGAGTCTCAGGTTGGCACTCACGTCTGTTCTCCAACATTAGCTAATCTCCCTTTTTAAAAAGCTTTCAGGAGGTAGCTAGCTAAAATTTAATAACACTGCCTGGTTTTCATATTTATTTATCAATAAACTGTGAAGTAATAAATATGAGGGCAGCTAAAGGAAAAAGTTACTTAGCAGTAGGGTGGTTACTAATGGGGAGACTGAGGTTTGAAAATCCAGGTGTGAGGGCTCGGGAAGGAAGCTGCAGAGGGTGCTGCGTGAGTCTGAAGGGGACAAGTGGGGTTCTAGGCGAGGGGGCCAGTGCCAAGGCACAGCAGCGGTGCCGTGGACCACAGGTGGTCTGAGATAAAGCTAGAAGAGTGTGGCACAGGCAGAGAAGGAAGCACCTCGAGTTTGGCGTTCACCTTGGAGACAAGGGAGGGGTCAGAGGTCTCAGGCCAGAGGGCAGCATCCCAGGAGCATGCTGCTATCTGCCAGAGCCCAGCAGCGCCCACCCTGGCACCCCGGCCACTTACCCCGCTGGTGCAGCACAGCAAAGGGCTGGAAGTGCCGGGCATAGCTGAGGGCCTCCAGCTGCTTCTCGGGGCCACCCGCCAGGAGGCGGATGAAGTACAGTTGGTGCAGCTTGAACTCCAGGGAGCTGTTGAGCTCCAGCAGGCGCTGCCTGTGGGAGACAGCCCACCTGGGAAGAAAGGGGCCAGTGAATGTGGAGGTGGTGGGGCAAGAGAAGGGGCCTGGTGGAGCCGGGACTAAGAGGTAGGCTCCAGGAGCCTATGTGAGGCCACAAGACAGACAGGGCTGGAGACACGTCAGGCACTCTGGATGAGATGAAGACCACAGACAAGCTCTGTCCCCTGCTGGCCCATACCAGGGCCAACTTACTCCAAAGCTGGCCCCAGGTCTTGTTTGTGCAGAGCTTCCAAGATTCGATTTAACTCCAGGAAAGGCTGCTTGAAATCCAAGTCCACATTCAGCGTTGATTCCTGTGAGGAGAGCATGACCCCACTACTGGAGAACAGTGTTTCCAAAACTCTCTAACGTCATCTGCCAGACAGGCTGGAGAGAGAGCCAGGGTCTGTGTGAGGGGCCATGGTCTCCTGCCAGCCAGCCGCCTGGCCCCACATTCTCATTTCCGTTCGGGGAGGCTGACTACCACATGCTGGCCTCCCACAGGGCAGACCACAACCTCACCCGGGTCCTGGAGACAGTCCCCAGGGCCTGTGTTGAGCAGCATGGTGAAAATTTATTCTTCTTCCATCCTCTTTATTACTTTAAGGATCCTTTACTTTTACTGCCAGTGTGTCTTTAACACCTAACAGTGCTACCCTGTCATTTTACTAACCTCCTTTTAAGAAGGTTAAAACTCAGACTCGACTCAGGCCTCGACTCAGAACCCTGGTTGACAAACAACCTTAGCTAGAAATTAATGACTTCACTTGTCACCGTGTAGGTCTGACAATTAAGTTCACAAACTCATCCTAGAAAAAGTGCCACATACCTCATTGCTGAATATCATTATGGTCACCTTCAAAGTACTCCCCTTGGGAAGCTATGCACCAAAGTCATGTCCTAGTCCACCCTTCAAAGCAATTTTGGAACTCTTTTTCTGGAATGGCCATCAGAGCTGTAATCGTATTACCCTTGATGTCCTGAATGCCATCAAAATGTCTTCCTTTCAATATCTCCTTTATCAATGGGTAAAGAATTCATTGGGGGCAAGATCAGGTGAGTGGGGAGGGTGTTCCAATACAGTTATTTGTTTACTGGCTAAAAACTCCCTCACAGACGTGCCGTGTGAGCTGGTGCATTGTTGTGATGCAAGAGCCATGAATTGTTTGAGAAAAGTTCAGGTCGTCTAACTTTTTCACACAGCATTTTCAGCACTTCTAAACAGTAAACTTGGCTGTTTGTCTAGTTGGTACAAATTCATAATGAATTATCCCTCTGATATCAAAAAAGGTTGAACAGGTTCGCAAACTTAATTGTCAGACCTCGTATATTTGTAGGCTACCTTCTACTTATGGCGGGGGGCTGGTTTCCTTTCTAAAATAAATTCAGCTCAAGAACAACAGGACTTGAACGTAAGAAAAACTATTAAGCAAAAAGCAGAGCAGGCAGGTCCCAGCACCTCCCTCTGGGGCCATTACCTGGCACAGCTCCTCGGCCACACCGAGCATGCCCTGCTGGTACAGGTGCTCCACGATGGCCGTCTGCAGGATCTGCTGCTGTTTCTCCCGTGAGTCCCACACCGCATCGGAGACTACACCGCAAATCTCAGAGTCAAAGTTCTGACAAGGGCAAGAGACAGGGCCCTGTGACTCGGCACACGCACTCCACACTCCTGCTTTCCTGATGAGCCCTAGTCCACACCAACTCCAGGCAGCCCCACCCCCAGTCTGGGCGCCCACAAGCTCACCCTGTCAATGGCTTTGCCCACTCGGGAAACACTGCTGTGAATGTCTTTGTGGTCCGAAGCCAGTTTCTGCACGGTGTCTTTGATCTTCCGGCAGCACTGGGACATCACCAGGGAGAGGGTGGCTGAGAGAGGGGTCCCCTGCAGGGCTGCAGAGAAACACTGGCAGTGAGCCAGAACCCCAGGAGCAGACGTTGTCCCTGCTTCCTCTATCCTAAATGCCGCTGGGAGGCCAGGGAGGTGGCCCTGGACTCTGGAGGGAACAGAGCCCTGGGAGAGAGATACATTCTGCCACATTGTTAAGCAAAATGTGGACTGGAGCTGCCAGAACAGGAATACGTGACCACCTCCAGGCAGCGCTCTGAGAACGAAGCCAATGTAGACAGAGGGATCACATGGGCACCTGAATACAGCTAGACCTGAACATGTCAGTTACCTAGGTCCAGAAATCCAGCCTTCCTCCTTTGTTTGTTTAAGCTACTCTGGGCTGGGTTTCTGTCACGTGTAAGTGAATGAGTCCTGACAAATACAAACCGGAGTTGATGGCTGGGCCACCCACTTACCCTAGGGAAACGGGGCAGAATCGCACTCCACTCCCAGCATTAGCACTGCCCTCCCAAACCCCAGCTTGCCACTCATTTCTCACATTCTTCTGTCTCACCTCCATGACAGAGAGCCACACTGCACATTCCCTGGCCAGATCCCCTTTTAGGACAAAGCAATACTCTAGGGAAACCAAAGCCTTTAACCTGGAATCCCCCAACCTCCACTGCCCAAGGACCCCACTGACAAGTGTGAGCCCCGACAAATCCCCATCCGAGGAGACACAATCTCCTGATAAACACTGCAGCCATAGCCACCTTTTAACCAAAAGCACAGTGTGAATGAGGTTCAGCCCAGCAAGAGAAAACCGTTTCTTCCACAAGGTTAACAGATGTCACCAAAAGCGAGGAACCCTGGGTTTTTATTACAGCATGGCACAATCATATAATGGTACGAGAATGAGGCAGAGCTCTATGTACTGATACAGAAGACTCTCCGTGACAGACTGTGTAGGGAGAAAGCAAGGTGCAAGGAAGTATGTGCTTTGTGCTCCCCGTATATGAAAAAAAGGAGAAATAGACACTTATACATGACACCTATGTGTGCACAGATGCTGCCTGGAAGGGCACCTGAGAAACTGGGGACAGGGGTGACTTCTGGGAAGAGACACACAGGAAATGGGTATCAGCGGGGAAAGGGAGACTTTTCACTGTAAGCCTTTTTGACCTTTAAGTCTTTTCCACATCCCTGCATTCTTTAAAAAAATAATAAAAAGGAAACAAACTCTACTTCATAGATTTTTCTCAGGAGTACTAGGTATAGCAATTCTGAAAATACTTTCTATGTATTGCAGAAATTGAGATGAGAAATGTACTGATGATGTTGGGAGTCAAGCTCGTCACTGCTGGAGAAGAGCGATACAGCTATGAATGGGGGAAGTCTAGGAAGAACCCAGTGATACTGGATTGGAATTGGAGGTATCAGTGTAAATGCATGGTCTGTGATATTGTGATATATAGAAAAGGAAGGAAGGAATGGAGGGAGGGGCAGGGAGGGAGGGAGGAAAGAAGGAAGGAAGGAAGGAAGGAAGGAAGGAAGGAAGGAAGGAAGGAAGGAAGGAAGGAAAGAAAAGAAAAGAAAAGAAAAGAAAAGAAAGAAGAAAAAGAAAGAAAGCGAGCCTAAAAACAACAACACTCCATTAACAACCCAGATGATGGTTTCCAAATGCCATTTCCCATTTCCCACCATGGCTACTTGCAGAAATTACTGATTCCAGCGAATATCTTATTGTGCCAGAAAATAAGGAAGTGCTAAAAATTAACTCGAAATGGATCAAAGACCAAGTATAAGAGCCCAAACTACAAAACTCTTAGACAAAACAGAGGTGTAAATCTTCATGGCCACAGATTAGGCAATGGTTTCTTAAACATGACAACAAAAGCATAAGAAATCAAAGAAGGACTGGCCGAGTGGCACATTGGTTAGGAGTTGGCTTGGAATGCCAGCTCTGAGCAGCAGGGCCCCGGTTCCAATCCCACATGAGGGCCAGTGACGCTGTGCCCTCCACAGCTAAGATGGTGAACAACAGCTCGACCTGGAGCTGGGCTGCCGTGAGTCACTGACGACAGCGTAGGCTGCAGTGGGGCTGGCCGACAGCTGGCATGATCTTTCATGAGCTGCCGTGAGTGGCCGTCCATTGACCAGCGAGTAACTGCCTCGCCTGGGAAGAGCGCAATAATAACAAAAACATGGGCCAGTGAAGTGACGTCCTCCACAACTAGACTGAAGAACAAAAGGACAGCAACTTGTCTGTTCCCCTTCCCCAATTCCCCAACGCTTTTCCCTCCCCCAACTCCCCAATAAAAATCTTAAAAAAAAAAAATAAAATAAATAGGACTTCATCAATATTAACAACATTTGTGCTTCAGAGGACATTACCAAGAAAGTGAAAAGAATATTATTAACAGGGCTGGCTGGGTGGCTCAGTTGGTTAGAGCATGTGCTCCGAGCAATAGGGTTGCTGGTTCAATTCCCACATGGGCCAGTGAGCTGCACCCTCTGCAACTACATTGAAGACAATGACAAGCTGAGCTGCCACTGAGCGGCTGGATGGCTCAGTTGATTAGAGCACATGCTCTTAACAACAAGGTTGCCAGTTCAACTGCTGCATGGGATGGTGGGCTGCACTCCTGCAACTAGACTGAAAACAGCAACTGGACTTGAAGCTGAGCTGCACCCTCCACAGTTAAGATTGAAGGACAACAACTTGACTTGGAGCTGGTGAGTCCTGGAAAAAACACATTGTTCCCCAATAAAGTTAAAAGAAAAAAAAAGAATATATTAACAAATCTATATCTAGGAAGGGTCTATATCCAGAATATACAAAGAACTCTTACAACTCAACAGTAAAAAAACAAATAACTCAATTTAAAAAATGGGTAAAAGGCCGGCTGACCATCCAGAAGCCAATGATTGATCTGCCTCGCCTGGGAAGAGCGCAATGATGGTGCCAACGTGGGCCAGTGAAGCAACGTCCTCCACAACTAGACTGAAGAACCAAATGACAGCAACTTGTCTGTTCCCCTTCCACAATTCCCCAATAAAAATCTTTAAAAAAAAAGAAAAAAGAAAAAGAAAGGCCGGCCAAGTGGCTCAGTTGGTTAAGAGCTCACTCTAGAGTGCGAGCTCTGAGCAACAGGGTTGCCAGTTGGATGCCCGAGCTGAGCTGCTGCTGAGCTGCAGGATGGCTCAGCTAAAAAAAATAAAATAAAATATAAATTAAAAGAATGGGTAAAATATTTAAATAGACATTTCTCCAACAAAGATATACAAATGGCCCACAAGCCCATGAGAAGATGCTTAATGTCATTAGTCATTGGAGAAAAATGAAAAGCAAAACCCCAATAAGTTATCACGTCATACCCATTAGGATGGCTAGAACCAAACAGACAAGTGAGGATACGGAAACTGGAACCCTCCTACATTGCTGGTGGGCATGTAAAATGTTGCAGCTACTTTTGGAAAAGTTTGCCAGTGCCTCAAAAAGTTAAAGAGAGTTACCACATGACCCAACACAGAAAAGAGAATGAAGTATTGATTAAGGCTATGACAAGGATGAACCCTGAAAACATCATGCTACGTAAAAGAATTCAAACGCCACATACTGTACAATTCTGTTTATATGAGTGTCCGGAGGTAAATCCACAGAGAAAAAGTAGATTAATTGTTGCAAGCGGCTGGAGAAGAGGGAGGAATGCAATGACCGTTTCTTTCTGGAGTGATAAAAATTCTGAAATTAAATCGTGGTTATGATTGTAAAACTCTGTAAATACACTAAGAACCACTGAACTGTACACTTTAAGAAGGTGTTTTTAATGTGAATCACAGCTTAATTTTAAAAAAAAAGGAATGAGAAACTATGTATGAAATTCTTATCAACAACTTTCTCATTAAAAATAAATAAAATAAAAGGACATAAGAACCAGGAGTTACCTCTGGTCAAATCTAAGACAATTTGAGCACTGAAATATATAACAACAGTAATGGATTATAACCCATTGAATAAAATAAGAATCTATGAGTGTAAATTGATAATAAGTAAATAAGGGAGAGCTTCCTCCTTATAGGTGAATGCTAATAAATACATAAGGAATGATAGAACAGGAAAAACTGCGCTGTCAACAAGCAGCCTCGGGGTCTCCTAGGCCCAAAGGGACGCAGGAGCGGGGTTCTCGTGGGGGGACACCCACCTGCACTGGCCAGCTCGGCCCGCAGTTGGCCCACATGGTGCAGCAGCTCCTCCAGGCTCTGCTCACAGTGCTGCCCATAGGTCAGGAACTTCTGTAGGACCTTGTCCACCTCTCTCTCCACGCTTGCACACTGCTCCATGGCGGCCTCTGTCTGGGGGCAGGAGGAGGGTCCAGTGTGTCAGGCGCCACCTGGGCCAGGGGAACGTGGTGGAGAGAGCTCCCAGACCCTCCTCATCACACCTATATCATCTATCAGTGCTCAGAAATTCCCAGTTTCACATATCTGTCTACAGCTATATCACCCCAGCCGGGGTGCCTAGTGGAGGGTGTAAGCAGGTAGGAAGACAGGGATTTTTGAATCATGGTAAGAAAATTACTCGGTTTTCCATTTTTTTCATTCTACAATCCTCGTTCATCTCTTTCTAATCAGAAGAGAGGGCAGGCCTCACAAAGCCCTCACCATGAAATACTAACTAGGAATCCATACATATACTGCCTGTTTTCATATTTCATGCATTTTCATATATTCAGTGTGGCCACCTTCTCTTCAGTTAGTGGACTCGGCTTTCCATGTACTATAGTGATAGAAGCCATGAAGGCAGTCCTTGAGAGGCTGGTATTTGCAAAAAGCCTAAGGAACAAGTGCCAACCACGTTGTCCCCATGGGCCTTGCCCACTATCCCAGCCTCAATCTCCCCAGCTGCTCGCTTAAGGAGGGCAGCTGGAACCCTTACTCTTTCAAAGCTCTGGGCCCTGGTTCATCCTCTCCCCAGGGTGTCCTCCATTACCCGTCACCTCCAAACCACTTGAGAAGCTGGCTCATCCTTCCCAAGGCAGCTCAGAGGTCACCTCCTCGGGCAGCCAGCCGTCTCTCCTGCCCCTACCTGGCTCCCTCCATTTCACGTGGCCCCTCCTATTTCAGTTTTTTTTTTAAGTATGATTTTTTAAATTGTGGTAAATATACATAAAATTTACTCTCTTAACCATTTTTAAGTGTCACTGAGTACATTCACAATTTTGTGTAACCATCGCCACTATCCATCCCTAGAACTTTGTCATCTCCCCAAACAGAAGCTCTGTCCCATCAAACACATCATGTTTGATGACACAAAACTGTCACTTTGTGTCTACACTGTCATCAGGCAAGTTTGGGAGGTCGGGAGGCCTTGCACCTGCCTGGCATCTGATGTGACTCAGATGATCCATGATGTTTTTTTATTCAACCCACAGCAGGAGAGCTTCAGGCACGTGTCATGTGGCACTCACTTGAGAAGGACCCCATTCACCCCCCCTATTTCAGTTTGATCATCTGTTTGAGGGCTGCCTCCCCGCCGACTAGAGCATCTCTCGTAATCCAACCTTCCCTCCTCATCATACCATTGAAAGAAAGCTGACTTTTCTCATCCCATCTTTCCTACCACTGTGCCCCCTTCTTACATCCCTTCCACTCTGAGCCACTGCTCCCCTCCATTTCAGAGCAGCCTTTGACACTGAACACATGGACAATCCTCAAATTGTTGGTGACAGAGTTCCCTCCCTATCTTCCCAACCATGGGACTAGAAATGAGAGGGCCCTCAAAGTTCAAACCTGGCAAGTTGTCCATTCTCTCAAAGAAGCTACCGAGTAACATCACAAGAAGAACCCAAGGTGACCATTAGGATTCTCCAGTTTCACCAGACTCAGCCCACTTCCACCAGCATCATCAGTCCTGGCCTCATCATCTCGGCCCAGCAAGGGGATGAGTGACAGGAAAATGGCACCCAAAGCCTTGTGATGTGCTAATGCTATCACACTAGAGTTTGTAATCATGGTGTCCAGAAGATGTGCCCCCTCAGCTGGCAGACCTCGGAGATATTGTGGGTTTGTTCCAGACCACCACAGTAAAGTTGAATATTGCAATAAAGCGAGTCACATGAATTTTTTGGTTTCCCGGTGCATATAAGTTATGTTTACGCTATACCATAGTCTGTTAAGTATGCAATAGCATTATGTATGTCTAAAAAACAATGCACACACCTTAATTAAAAAATACTTTATTGAGTCAGCTGAGTGGCTCAGCTGGTTAAGAGTTGGCTTAAGAGCGTGAGCTCTGAGCAACAGGGCTGCCAATTTGATTCCCACATGGGCCAGTGATGCTGCGCCCGAGCTGAGCTGCTGGTGAGCTGCCAATAGGTGGCAGGATGGCTCAGCTGGTGTAATAACAAGATTGCCTATTAGATGGTGGGCTATGCCCACCGCAACTAAGACTGAACTTGGCACCTTGAGCTGAGCTGCCGCCTGGATGGCTCAGTGGATAGAGCGTGCGCTCTTAACAATAAAGCTGCTGGTTCGACTCCCACATGGGATGGTAGCTATACCCACCCGCAACTAAGATTCAACACAGCACCTTGAGCTTAGAGGCCACGAGCTGCCGACGGGAAGCCAGATGGTGACTGGCGCCCTCCACAACGAAGATTGAAGAACAACAACTTAGCTGGTCCCCTTCCCCAATTCCCCAACACTGTTCCCCTACCTCAATTCCCCAATAAAATCTTTTTTTAAAAAAAGTTTATTGCTAAAAAATGCTAACCATCCTCTAAGCCTTCAGGGAGTTGTAATCTTTTTGCTGGTGGAAGGTTTTGCCTCAATGTTGATGAAAATGCAACATCTGGAAGTGCAACAAAGTGAAGCACAATAAACGAGGTGTACTGGTACCCTATTACTGGATATGAGTCATGATGAGCAAACCTAAAGGGACTCCTATCTGAAATAATATTAAAATAATTATTATTGCTATTAATAGTTAACATCTCATAGGGGCTTATTATGTGCCAGACACTGTTTTAATGACTTTGCATGTATTAACTAATTAATTCTTACAAAAACACTATGAGGTAGGTACAATTATTAGACTCACTTTACAGATGAGAAAATGAGACACACAGAGATGAAATAAGTTGCCCAAGGTCACGCAGCTGGGAAGTGGAGGACCTGGAAACTGAAGCCGGGCAGTCCAGTTCCAGAGCCTTCTCTGAGGTATGCTGCATCACTGCACTCTGGACCCGCTTACCAGGCCACAGTCTCACCAGGAAAAGGAAGCAGCCAGTATGTGTGATTGGAATGAGCACACAGCAACGATGATGACAGGAAGCAGGAAAATTAACCACAGAGCCTATGAGATGATCAAAAAGATGGCAACACAAAAGATTGTTTGCCAAGAGTGTCTGGGAACCAGAATCACAATTCACCAAAAATAAACACAGCTCAAGAAAGGTCAGGACCTCACCAAGGTCAAACAGTCAGACACCAACTGATACCAGGATTACCAAAGGGAAGCCCAAGTCAGCATCTTGAAATTCTATCAAAAAGCTAAGGAAGAAGATGGGTGTAAGGCTTTTCATCCTGGCGCTGTGTGCTGTGATGGAGTGGGAGATTGTGTAGGGGTCTCATCGCGAGGGGAACTGATAAACCAAGGAAGTAAAATGTGGGGGATGCATCTAGAAACCACATTCCAGATATACCCACGGCAACACCAATAAGATCCCAAATCGTGGTACTAAAGGGGAAATAAGAAATGAACTCTAGGCAGAATATATTGATGTAAATTTAAAATATATGCATATAAACCAATGACACGTGCAAATAAAAGGATAGACACCAAACACATCAGAGTGGTTTCCTACCGTGGAGGGAGAAGGGAGGAATGGGGATAAAAGGAAATATGTAAATAAATACAAAGGAGAAAAGGGCCCTGCACAGACCAATTAAATATACAATGAACTGAGAAAACTCAAGAAAATATTAAAAATAAAATAAATGAGGTAGGAAAACAGAACTGCTTGCAAGTATCTCATCCCATCCAAGGTGAGCCACTCCACCTGAATCACAGTAGGTCATCTTCATCAGGCACAAGGATGGATGAGTTTGTGTTTGTCTTTGACAAATTAATCCAATGGAATTTCATGTCCATTGTCCCAAGCCCTCCTCCCCAGGGTCTCACATGTACTAGCGTGCTCCCTCCAAAGCTACACATCAGATCCTGTCACCCCTTTACTTGATAATTCCATGGCTTGACATGCAAGCCCTCTGTCATTGTGCATTCGCTTCCTTTGTACAAGCTGGTCCTATGTTCAGAGTGCCCTCTGCACTTGTCTGCATAGAACACAAGATCAGCTCCCCACAAAGCCCTCAGTGAAATCTCCTGCTTCCTTCTCTATGGAGGACGCCCATATCACACACATCTGAGACCTCAGCACTGTGGCACAGTAACTGTCTGTTCACCCTTTAGACTGTGAGCTAGTTGCTCAAACCTGGAGTCCATCTCTCTCATCCTCTCCCCTCAGTGCCCAGCCCAGGGCTTGGTACACAGTGGGTGCTCAGGGAGCATTTGTTGATTACATGGTGCATCCATTTCCTAACCCTTGGGCTAGGGAGCCTGAGCTCAAACCTGCGGGAGTGGGCAGGAAGAGACATAAGTAAAATACTAAACCCCCCCACCCCCACCTCCGGCTCCGGGGAGTTTTGTCCCGTATTCCTCATCCTAAAATAGGAGAACCCCTTCTGGGGCAAAGGGGGAAAAGGAAAGTTTATGTAAATCACGGAAAAGTCCCCTGACAAAGGCCTGACACAGAATTGGACAGCCTCCATGGACCCAACTTATACTTTTGTACCCTCCCCACCGCACCCCCACCCCGACCTCTACGCATTCTCTACCATACACACCACTCCTCTGCTTACAATCCGATAGATTCCCAGTGTAATTAGAATAAGATCCAGCCTCCTTTTTATGGCCTCCAAGGTTCCATATGAGTCGACTCCAAACCACCTGTCCAACCTCATCTCCTACCACTCTGTCCCTCACTCACCATACTCCAATCACATTAGCCTTCTTTCTGTTCCTTGACTACATCCACTTTATTTCTGCCTCATGGCCTTTGCACTGCCTGGTCCTTCTTTCTGGAACACTCTTCCCCCAATCTTCCTATGGTTGGCTCCTTATTAGGGTCTCAACACAAACTTCATCTCTTCAGAGAAGCTCTCCTAGACCACAGTATCTCACGCTGACCCCTCTGCCCCAACCCACACCAGTTACTCTATTGTTACTCTCTCATAACTGGTGTTCATTTTCTTCACTGCACATCTCTATTTGAAGTTTCAATCTTTCTTTCGTCATTAACCAAAACTGGGGAGAAGCCACCATTTTCCCTGGAGTGCAGCCCCTACTGGGAGTTTCACCTGCATTAACGCAATGACTGTTAAACTCCTACTCGTCCTTCAAAAGACCCTGCTCGAATGCCCTGCCTGCCCCCCCCCACCCCCGGCCCCTCTTGTCCTCACCGGGTTACCTCCGACCCGGCCGGGTCGCACTATGATGGGACGTCTGAGTTCCGGCGACCCCCGGGCAGAGACGACTCCTCGAAGGTCCTATTGAGTCTGTGGGACTCCCAGCTGCCAGCTCCCCGACTGCGGAGAAAACCCGTCCGAGGGCAGACTGGTGCGGAGGCTTAGTCAGGAGACATCGGGGAAGGCCCGAGGCCTGGGAGCCCGACCGAGCTGCAGCCCACCGCCCCTCTCCGCCACCCCGGGGCGCCCCGCACCTCCCGGCCCGGATGTCCGTGGTTTCCACCTGGCCCCGCAGGGCTGCCCTGGCTTCCGGCGCCGCTGTCATAGGAACCGGAAGTCGCGGATGTTGCTCCGCGCGTTCGGACTCGCCCACTCGAGGTTTCGCGAAGGGGTGGTCGCCCGCGAACCCGCGGCTTTCTCCTGGCCGCCTTCCCTCTCCCGCGCGCCCAGAATGGAGCCGCCCGCAGAAGCCGGGCGGCGGCGGGAAGCTGCACTTGGCGGCAGTCAGGATCCACGCCGGGACTTCCCCGGCGCCGAGGCGTCGGGCCGCGCTGCGAGTCTCCCCGTCTGCGGGAAAGAATCGGGCTGACCCGCAGACTGTGCCGGTGCGTGGGGCGGGCCGGCCAGGAACCTCTACCCGCCCCGCAAGCTTCTGTCCTAGCGGCCGGCTCCGTGCTCAGAAGCCCTAAATCAGAAATAACTGTGCCAACCCCGTTCCCCGCACTCTACCCTTATTCAAAGTGAAGATTACCAAATGGCACAACGCATGTTAGGCTCTCCCACGATGGCTTCTTGATGCTCTCTTTGAAACATCAAATGATGTTTAAAAGAAAAGTCTTTTTTCTTTCCTACCCCTAAATCCATACATAATCTACCTCCGGGGCATTCAACAGGAGGATTAGACTACGGGGAGCGCGCGGGCCAGCCCCTTGCCGCCCTCATGGGTCGCCCTCCTTGGAGGGCATAGGGCAGTTGCACAACTGCCCTAAAGAGGGAGGGTGAGGGTTAGGAAAAAGGAGAGTGACCCCAAACCTAGGCCAGGTCTGAATTCACGCTCCTCCCGGGTCCCCTTGCTTTGGAGGGAGAGGCAGAGAAGCCCCGCTTCCCTCCATAGGCTTAAGGACTTGAACTGGAAACAACCCAAGAGAAAAGGCCCGGCTCCGTTTCCCTGACTTCCTGCTCCCTTTCTGGGCCAACCGCATTCCCAGGCATCCTCCCCTTCAACCCTCCACGCCTCTGCCCCACCCCCCAAACACCCTTGCACAGTCTTGTTTTGTTTTCTGTATAGCACTTGCACAGCCCAGTTGTTGGGTTGTTTTTTTTAATAGCATTTGGCTTGAAATTATCTTGTGTGTTATTTGTTTATTCTGTCCTCTGACCACGCCCCCTTAAGGATAAAAGCACCATTGGGACCAGGACTCTGTACTCAGCACTGCTGTATCCCCAACACCGAAGGCTTGGAACACCTTAGTTGCTCAGAAATACTCTGAGGTACCCAATATCCTCCAGTGGCTCCAAAACCTTATGCAACACGCAGGGAAGGGGGCAGTCCTGAACTCGGCAGGAGCACACCGGGCATGATGCATCTGGAGAGGCCTGTCTGTGCACCAGGAGTCTGGGTGGTCCTGGCCCACGCACAGCAGCAGGGGTGGCACAGCAGCAGGGGTGGCGGGGTGAGGTGGGAGGGTGGAGAGTTGAGTGAGCCTTGCCTGGGGCACCTGGCTGAGCTGCAGCCTCTGAGCCAACAGGACCTCACAGGCCTCCCGAACGCCCCATCCTTCCCCACTTTCTCTGGGGGAGCCCTGACCTCTCCTCCAGACATACTGGGTGTGAGCAAAGCCTTCTGCAAGAACCTTGAATGCCAGGCCGACACCTTTGTGTTGGGCACTTTCACCTTTGTCATTGTTTTCCCCAGTACGTGGCTCTCTTTGCAGTTGTGTCACTTTCCAGTGTGCACCAAGTTTTACTATTGTACATAGCTGATTTTGTTGGGAGGAGGGGATGCTTCAGAGCAGAAAAGCTTAGCTGTTCTCCACTAAATCAAATGATAGTCTGTTTAACCTTTTGCTAGTTCCCCAGGATCTGATTTTTATTTTATTTATTTTGTTTATTTTTTAAAGATTTTATTGGGGAATTGGGGGAGGGGAACAGACAAGTTGTTGTCCTTTTGTTCTTCAGTCTAGTTGTGGAGGATGTCGCTTCCCTGGTCCATATTGGTATTATCATTGCGCTCTTCCCATGTAAGGAAGTCGCTCGCCGGCCATTGGTCGGCAGTTCATGGTGGCTCACAGCAGCTCATGCCGGCTGCCAGCCACTCATGGTAGTTCACGGCAGCCCACTGCAGCAGGGTCTGCAGCCTACACTGCCTCTGGGACTCAAGGCAGCCCAGCCCCAGGTTGTTGTTCACCATCTTAGCTGTAGAGGGAGCAGCGTCACTAGCCCTCATGTGGGATCCAAACCAGGGCCCTGCTGCTCAGAGCTGGCATCCCAAGCCAACTCAACCGATGCGCCACTCGGTTGGCCCTAGGATCTGATTTTTTAAATTTAACTCTTCGGTATGTGTTTATTTTATTTTGCAGCTGGTGGTGCAATGTATGACTTATTTTTTCCCACGTTTGTCCAGTTATGGAGGCACCGCTCATTAAGCAGTCCTTCCATACGCTCTTGTTTTGAAACCCCTCGTAATCATATTAGAATTTTCTACAGAATCTATTTCTAGGGCCGGCCGAGTGGCGCGATGGTTAAGAACTGGCTTGGGATGCCAGAGGGCCCCGGTTCGGATCCCACATATGAGGGCCAGTGACACTGCCCTCTACAAAACAACAAAAAAAAGTAAGAATCTATTTCTGGCTCTTCATTCTTTCCATTAAAGTGTAGTTTTATGTTTACATCAATGTCATTGTTTTACTCGCTACTTTGTACTATGTCCTAATACATGTTGCGATTTTAAACAAGGTTCACAAAAGGGGGAAAAAATAAAAAGAAACAAGGTAACTGAGAAAGCAGATCACTGGTTGCCTGGGGGGTGGAGGAGGGCTGATTACACAGGCACATCAGGGAATTTTGGGAGATGATGGAACTATATCTTGATTGTAAGGTTGTTTATACAACTCTCTGCATTTGTCAAAGCTCTAAAAACTGAACCCTAAAGAGGGTGAAGTTTCCTGCATGTAAATTATACCTTAAAATGGGGTTAGGGTAATGGGTCCATAAAGAACACACTAGATAAATCTTAAAAAAAAACTTTCTTGACAGAGATGACAAGCCCTGGAGTGCCCTCCTGAAAATACAGCCGCTCTTCCCTCAGAGCAAGTCCTGGAAGACCAGGCTAGGAAAAGACGGACTCTCCTCTAAGGGTTGGTGGGTGGGGGCAGCGACAGGTGATGCAGCCACTCCCTGCCCTCTGAAAAACCTGGGAGCATCAGGGCTCAGCCCATGGAGCTCAATTCGCCTGCTCAGGCCTTGTCTCTTCCACCCTCCAGGTGTCTCCTGTTTCTTCTTCCTGTTCCTGTCCCTCCTTGCAAAGCTTTGGTTAGGCCAGGGGCAGCTACATCATTTGCAGGTCACAGAGCAAAATGAAAATTCGAGGCCACTTGTTCAAACATCATTAAGAAATTCAAGATGGCGACATCAGAGCATTCCACCAAGTGTCGGGCCCTTCTGAGCATGGGGCCCTGCATGACTGCACAGGCCACACACAGATAAAGTTAGTCCTGGTTCTGGCCCTTTCCCTTGGCCCCCTGAGGGACCCACCCACAGCCACAGGAAGTGAAATCCTCCCCTGTCAGCTTACCATGTTGCTGGGGATCCCTCTTGCCTCTTCTCACCTGCTTCCAGACAGGACCCTCCCCCAGACCTGCCCCACACTTCCCTGTGTCCAAGTCCAGGCCTATCCTGGATGCCCTCATTCCATGCTGCTCCTGAGGAAATCCCCCCAACTTCCCATCCTCAGAGAAGCTTATCCTTATTAAAGAAAAAAAATTACTCACGACACTTGTTAAAGAGTGTTAAGGAAGACTTTATTCAAGGGGGGCTACTGCAATGGGCTTTTATAGTAGGGGACAGAGAGTGGGCTCAACACCTAATACGACAACGAAAAGTCAAATTTATAGCCAAGGAGCAGAGTGGGGGGCACTGGATAGACAATCACTAAGAGAAAACTTCAGAGGGGAGAGGGGAATCTTGGCTAAATGGACCTCACAGGATTCTCGCTAAAGGCAGGCCAGTGATCAGACATCACCCAGGAGATGGTGGAAGATGAGGAGCCAGATTAAATATGGAGGGTGATCCAATATGGAGGATGGGGAATTCTGGTTAAACTAACTTAGCAGAATTCTTGCTAGAACTGGACGTACAAGGAAGGATGCCTTCCAAGGTCTGGCCTAGTCAAAAGAGAGCTCAGAAAAGCCTAACCAAAATTTGGTCAGGCTTTGTCACCCCCACCCCATCTCCTGGAGTGATAAGTGATCCAACTCTTCTTTTGAACTCCCATAGCACGCACGCCTCATGGCACGTGACATATTTCACTTGCACATTCTTTTTCTTTTCTGAATCCAATAGAGGGCTAAGTCCCCACCCATTAGGATGGGAGGTTATGCAATCTACATTGTCACTGTGGGGCCTGCACCCTCCCTGGAGAAATACCTGCTAATACCTACAGCCCCAGCCCCCAAGTCTCAGGGAAAGTTACTCTCACGCCCAAACAGGCTCCCTCTGCCTTCTCCATGTACTGCTGATTTGATCGCCATGTTTGCACTCTCTAGATTCCCCTGTCCTCTTTGTCTCCTGCCTGGCAGGGTGACTACATGGACATGTGTGTGTTGTCCCTCCCTCACCCACAGGAAAAGGCCAAGAGGGCAGAGGCCATGGCCACGTCAGCTTCCTCAGCTGGGAACCAGACCATGCCCTGAGGGAGGCAGCAACACATCACTGTGCCGTGAACCATGGGGTGCCTGGCTCAGGAGCCCCGGTGCTTGACAGACCTGGTTCCCACCAGGTGCGCATGGGTGAATGAACACTCAGAATAGGATCCTTCCCCACCTACCCCACCCAACCCCCAGCTCAAACCCATGCCAGTCATGGGAGGGTTCTGGTCTCTCTTGACTCCAAAGCTCCCCGCAGTGCCTTCTGGGGCTGGAGCCAGAGTGTCTCTGGGGATGAAAACAAGACATAGCTCTCCCGGGCAAGGCCCACAGCCCAATGGGAAGAGGCAAAACGACAGTTCCAGCAGCTAGAGGAGCTGGTGGAGAGGCATTTGGGGGCTATGGGCAAAGGGAGAGGGACTGCCCTCCATGAGTTCAAGGAAGGCTTCTGTGAGGGCCCAGAGGGCTCCTGAGGTCAGAAGGAGCACCACTATCAATGACTCAGAGCCATCAAGTGATAGGCTTAGGGGCCCTGGGAGCAGCTGGAAGGCATGATACTATCTGAGCTGAAACAGGAGGGACCAGGGACAGGCAGCCCAGTGTGGGGGTTTACCACAGTTTTGGAAAGAATTGGCTGCCTGGGCCTAGTCTGCTGGGGATGGGGCCTGAGGGCAGCTGAGGGGCCTGCCAGGAGCAGGAGGGAGGGGCTGCCCTAAAGCAGGAGCCACTATAGTGGCACCTGTAATCTGCTGGCCCCAGAGCCACCAAGCCGGCTTGGGGACCAGGAACTGGTTTGCCTGGCAGGAACAAGCTAACGAGGATCCAGTTCCCTGAGACGCCCAGCTTGGCTCTCCGGAGCCCCAGCACATCCTCCGCCCCCTCGCCCCCCCCCCCACACACACACACATCTGGGCAGGGCCTTGGTTTCTGGCTGAGCTGCCAAGTTTTGGTACCGCCCACCCACACCCCTCTGGCTGTACTAGCTGGCCCAGCTCTCTAATTGCTGGGTTAGGAGCCGTTCTGCAAAGCTGGTACACAGAAAAGTGGACCCCAGCCACTGTGGGGCATGTGGGCACCCAGCCTGACCAGCTCCAGGCCTTGGGGAGGGAGTGGCCCTGGCTTCAGGCCAACACCCAGCTATGGGGGCCCCTCTGGAGGGCCACTGGCCCAGAGAATTTGATTTGGAGGGATCTGTGAAATGGATACTAAGGCCTATGGGGAGCAGGACTGCCTGACACAGGCGCTCCTCCTTTCCATTCCCAGGCAGAGGGGTGGGCCTATATGGATCTCAACGAAGCCCAGGGATCTGACCAGTCCAGATTCCACCCAAGCCTGGCCAGCGCTAAAGGGACTGGAGCAGGGGGGAAGAAATGGGGCAGAGGGTGTGGCAGGAAGCAGCCCTGCTGGCCTCCAACCCAGGAGCCCCAAACACACCCCCTTGGACACACCTACCACCCACAGCACTTTACATATAACCTGCCACTCACTGGGCCACAAACACACCATCCCCTTGGCAGTCAACTCACACATCGCTCTCCACCCTGAAAAGGCAGGGCACACCGGCTCACACTCCACAGCTCCATCCACGCCCCTGCACAGGACCCACCTGCTGGGGCCTAAAGGACAACCAGGCACGGCCAGGAGGGGTGGGAGCATGGCCACAGGAAGCACACAGAGAATCTCTGCTGAAAACTCCTCTGAGGTTGCACCTGCCCCACCAGGGCAGGCACCAGGAAGGGAGAGGTCTGTGTGCTACCTCCCCTGGGGCAGGAAGCATATCCAGTTCAACCCTGAGTCCCCATGCCCTGACTGCCTAACAGTGCCTGGCAGAGGGGAAGCACTCAGTGTGTGGTGGCAGTCACAGGGATTCATGCATAAGAACGCTGAGCTTTACCACAAGGAATGGGGAGACGCCATCTGCACAGCCAGACTGGGTCTGTGCTTCAGGCCACCCACCCAGGAGGAGCAAAGGTCCAGAGGGGAAGCCAGATGTCCAAGAGACAGGGGTGGGAGGTAAGGGGCTGCTTCCCAGGACAGTTTCCCAGAATACAAATCAGCTCAACTCTCATCCCTGCTTCAAAATACCCTGTGGCCTTCCATGCCTACCGGGAAACGTACAAGTTCCTTATTGTGGCAAAGGCCCTTTACCCAGTGACACACAAGCTTTCTCTGCTTGTCTCCTGCACCTTTCCAGGTTCCCTACCTCTAGAAGTAGTTGTGCACCACAGTCAGACGGAGATGGGAGGTGGGTTCTGGGAGGGGCAGGGCCCTACAGGAGCTTTTGGGGACTCCAATGGAAGTTGTCTTAGGCCAGCCCTAAACCTAGAAGGGGCCTGGGCACCAGGGCTCAGACTTCACACCAAGAGAATGTTTCATGTTCTAGTAATACCTTGGGTGACTTGCCCTTTTGTTTTTCTGGGATCCCTGGCAGTTCCTTCTGAAATTTCCAACTGGTGCTGAAGAAAGGAGTTTCAGCCCACATGGCAGCTAAGGGACCATGTGGCACTGGGCCAGGAAGATTCCTCCACTCACCAACACACGTGCCCGGCAGCTGTGCACATAGGCACAGGGCACATCCTCCCACTGACCACTACCTCGGGAGGAGCTGCAGCCCAGGTCCACAGCCTCCAACCCCGACCACCCTCAACCCTCCCCTCTAGAGTCAGGCCAGGGATGGACCCAACGTATCACCCAGGGCCTCCTCATAGAAAACGTGGTTTTATTCTGGGGGAGGCCAATGTTCCCATCCCGGCCTCTGTCCCTCATGCCCATCTGCATCTTGGGCTCCTCACCCCCCCAGCCTCCTTTCCTGGGCCAAACCTACTCCAGGAACAGGGCTGGGCCCTACCAGGGTGCCCCTCAGCCAGGAGGGCCTGGCCCTGACTCCTGCTGCAGGCATTCTGTGCAGCCCACAGCCCCACTGGATCCCTCCTCTCGGCGGGCCACCCCACCCCTGGCTGGCCTCAGCAGATTCTGCCCCAGACCAATGTCAGGAAGGAGCCAGCCGTCTCAGGGCAGACTTGCCCAAGCCATCTTCTGACAGTGCTGCTGCTGCTGTCAGCTCGCTCCACTAGCCTCAGATCTTGGAGGACTCAAGCCGAGGACTCCAGGGCATGGGGGGCTCCCGCAGTGCCTGCAGCTCCTGTTCCAGTGCCTGGTTGCGGCGGTACATGTCCATGTAGCCCCCCTGGATCTCCCGCTGGTAGCGCAGCACACGCTCCTTCTCCTCCTGCCACGTCTGTCGCTCCTGCTCAAAGCGTAGCGCCTGCTCCTGGCCCCGGAGCCGCTCCTGCAGCAGCTCGGCCCGCAGCTGCTGGGCACCATCTCCGGCCTCACCACCCCCTGCCTCCCCCAGCAGCCCCCTGCTCTTGCAGTCATCAGTCTCACAACTGCCCGGGGCTTCCCCCCGAGGGGCCTGCTCCTGTAGGCTCCGCACAGCCTCGCGTAGCCGGGCCAGCTCTGCATCCTGGGCCTGGGCATGTGCCCGGCTGCCCCGAAGCTGTGTCTTCAGGTTGAAGATCTCAGCCAGCTTCTGCGCCAGCTCAGCCTGGGCCTCCCGCAGCTGCTGCTTCAGGAGACTAATCTCCGCTGTCTTCTGGCATACCTGAAGCGGGGCACAGGATGAGCAAGGGCCAAGCAAAGCCAAGTAAGGGGGCAGGCTGAGAATGGGACAACAGCAATGGGGACGGGAGAGTTCCTGAGGACCTGGCCTCTCACCTCCCATCGGGCTTCCTCCTCTGGCCGCGTGGTGGGATCAGCCTCTGGGGGCCGAGGCTCAGGGGCCAAGCCCTGCTGTGCCCGCAGCTCCTTGCGCAGGCGCCGCTGCTCCTGTTGGGCCATGAATAGCTGTAGCTGGAGGGTGCGCTCACTGCGTTCAGCCTTCTGGGCCACCTCGTGCAGCCGCTCCACGTACAGGCGCTTCAGCTCAGACAGCCACAGCCGCTGGCGCTCCTCCAGCACCTGCCAAGGGAAAGAGGTGCCTGATAAGGCCAGTGCACCCATAGCTGGCCCACTGCTCTGACACTCCCAGCTGCAGCCAACATCCTGTGCCCCAGCACCACAGGGCCCAGGGGGCCCAACCCCCGGGCCACAAAGGTACCCTACCCTGGGATGCCCTCTAGAGGTGAAGTCTCCCCAACAGATGGCCCTCCCAGGAAGTCTCTCCCACCCTTACACAACTCTAGCAGGGACCATCAGTGACCTGATATTCCACCATGTGGGGTGGAGAGAGAGGACCAGAATCATCTACTTCTTTCTTACTCTCTTGTGCCCAGAGCCATGTGGGTGAGCAGGCAGGAGACCTGTCCGCCTGGTACTCCAATGCCAAGGGAGAGAACAGGACCCCAAGGCAAAGGCTGCCCTCACCTGTGTGAAGGGGTTGGTGCCATCCTCTTCACTGAGGCCTCTCTTGAGATCCTCACAGGTGTCAGGCAGCATGGCCACCACCTCCTCGGCAGTGGGGCAGGAGAACTCGTAGGGGGGTGGCGGCTCAGGCAGACAGCTCAGCATGGCCAGTGGCCCAGCCTCCTTGGGGCTCCGTGAGGCCCGGTCGAGGGAGCCCCCTAGGTGGTTAATGTGGCCCAAAGAGGAGCTGAAGGGGCCGGCACCAGGGCCAGTGCCAGGACTGCGGCCAAAGCTGCCCCCGCTAGAGGAGTCAGACAGGCTGGGATCAGGCTCGGGGCTGGCCTCGTCCAGGCTGAGGGCGTGCAGCAGCTGGGCGCGGGCTTGTGCCTGGCTGGCCCGGGGCCCTGGGCTCAGGGGTGGGTGGCAGGCCAGCGTGTGCAGGCTGCCGTTGCTGCGCCATAACTTCTGGCCCTTGTGGGCCGCCAGACTCTGCATGGACAGGAAGCCTTTCCCAGAGCCTGCCACAGGCTTGAACACTGATGGGCGAATGCGGCACTGCCAGGGAGAAAGGGCAAGTGTGAGGGTCCGGGCTGACCGTGCTGCCCTCCGATGTTCCCACAGCCTGAGGACCTTCTTTCAGACATGGGCGCATGCCACCAGGAGGCAGTGACCAAGCCTCGGGCTAGCCCATAGCAGAACTTCCATGTCCCAGCCCTGTCCCATCAAGGTATCCAAGGAGGCCCCAAGCTCCCCATCCCTACCCTCCCAACTAGGGAGGGGTGTGGGCAGAGGCGCACCTTGTCAAAACGACCCCGCTCGGGCAGTGAAGTCTTGCTGAAGTCACCGGCCCGAGGATGTTCCTGGTAGTAGAGGGTGGCATAGTCTGCAGGCTCATGCCGAGCAGCCCTTTTGGTGGTCTTGCCGTCCTTCTTGGGGAGGTGCAGGTAGCTGAGGAGCTCACGCTGGCCCAAGCCCTTCCGGAGGAGCCCGTCAGGCTGGCGGGAGCCACGGGACCCTGTGAGTGCTGCCCGTAGCTCTTCAGGAGAGAAGTCCTGCCGTTCCAACAGGCTGCCCACGCTGCCCATGGCAATGCCAGCAGGGCCTGGGGCTGTGGCCATGAAGTTTCAACAGGGCACAGGCAGCTGCTTCTGGAGATTGGGAGACTCCATCAGGGGAAGGTGGGTGCTTGTGGCCTACCTCCACTGATTCCCCTAAAACCAGATGCTTGTTCTATATCAGTTCCCCACCCAGCCCAGGCCCAGGAAAGGCAGATGTGGATCTGGAGAGACTCACATCTCTCCAGGATTCCTAGGCTGGCAAGAAAAAAGGGTGCAGGCCCTAAAGCCACCTTCCCAGTGCTCCAGCTCTAGGTAGGGGCCAGTGTGTAACTAGGGGCGGGGGACACCCTGAAGCAGCAAAGCAGCAAAATAGCTCCGCCCGCACCAGGACTGGGCCAGCTGAGGACTCAGGCTATCTGACTCTGATCTTGCTCACTCTTCTGCTAGGCTACCCGCCCAACCTGGGAGGTGGGCAGAGGGCACAGGGAACCAGGGCCAGCAACCTCAGACTCTCCATTCCTCCTTCTTCCCATGGGACGGCAACCCAGTTTAGCCCTCCTCCTGCCGTCAGTTCCCCAAGGGAAGCACCTGGCATGGGTGGAGTAACGGGAGGGATACAAACAGGAAGGGCCCAAGGGGAGGAAGGATGGCAGGAACAATGGCCACAGTTTCCGGAACAGGTGTTCATCTCAGGCTGGGTAAGAGGCAGAGCGAAGGGGCAGCCGGAGCCCCTGCCAGCTGCCACTCTAGAGCCCACCAGTAGGCAGGGGGCATCCTAAATCCTGACCTGGTGTGGAGCTAGTCAGTGTGTGGGGTCTGGCTTCCATCCAGATAATGGCCATGACAACTCTTATTAGGGATGCCCGGAGAATGGGCTGAAATTACAGGACAAAGCACCCAGTACAGGGTCCAGCTGGCAGCCAGGGTCAAGGCAGGATGGCCAAAGCTGAACTTAGGTGGTCAGACATACGAACGATGCTGGTGGGTGGCCGCGTGAGCAGGCTATGGGCTGTCTCCCACCTGTGCTGGGACTATATGGTGGAGGGCGGGGCTTGTCCCTGGTGCCCTGGTGGATCCCCTGTGCTAAGCCCGGTACTCAGCACACAGCAAGTGCTCGGAAAGGACCTGCTGAATGAACCGATGCCACCATCTCTGCCTCCTACCCAGCTGTTCCCATTCCTGGGTAGATGCCCAGCAGGCACGCTGCAGCTGTGTGTCCCCCACCACCCACCCAATATGCTTCCGGGACACCCACTCCCGACTCAAACAATGGTCGTTAGGAGGTTTCATCTTCCTCAACCATTTCCAGGTTTTGTGTTTGTGGAAGACAGAGCTCTCCAGGAATAAAAGGGAGGGAGGGTGCAGCCCTGCCCCCACACCCTGTGGCCCTCAACCTCACTCTGAGCAAAAGTAACCTTCCCAAGCCTTTCCTCTCAGCTTCCAGCTGGCTCAACCCCTCTGGGGGTGTCACAGGCTACACAGGGTTAGGGGGACTCATCCAGGTAAGGAATCACAGGTGCTGGGCACCTAGTGACACAGCCCTGCATAGGGGTCTCACTGAGTCCTATGACATATTGTCCGGTTTTTTAGGTAGGGCACTCTGAAAAGTGATGTGGTTTACCCAAGGTCACAGAGCTGGTCAGAGTGAATACACCTGTGATCCCAGCACCATAGCTGCCAAATGTCTAGTGGGGACCCAAGATGTCACCCACACCCCAAATAGTTGAAATTGAAGCATCTGCCTCCCAATCTGACACCCCCTTGCCATGACAAGCCCACCCAGCACAGACACCACTGTGTCCGAGAACGCACTGAACTCCTGTCATTCCTGTGGGGGACATGGACAGCAGAGAACAGGTCTCCTGCCCTGCCCTCACACGGTCTCTCTGTGGGGCCCCTCCCTTCACCATGCTTCCGTTTGCCCATCTCTGAAGTGGGAAAGACTCTGCCTGCCCACTTTCCTTATAGGGTCGCTGTGACAGTCACAGAGACAATAGAGGTAAAAGATCTTGTGAACTACAAGCCCAGTGCAAGCAGGGGGACAGGGATGGTAACAGTGGTGCCAAATTTCCCACTTCATCCCAAACACAAGTCTCACCTTTCCCTTGGGGCATCCTCACTTTCTTTCTCAGGGAGCAATAATCGATACCCCCCGACACCTTGTGCCCTAGAAAGGGTCTCAGGTCCAGGGGAGAGGCAGCCACGAGCTATATCAGCATGTACACCACACCCATACTGCAGTCTAGTCAGTGCCACCAGCAGCAGAGGCTCCTTCGTTAGAGGACACAGAGCGGACAGTCATATCCAACAGCAGACAGTCATGCTCAAGGTCACCCACACAGCCCTGAGTACCCTCACAGATACATATATATAACACAAGAATACTCAAGCGGGAGAGACCCAGCATCTTCCCCAGCGCTGAGGCTGCATGCAGGGTGTGTGTGTGTGTGTGTGTGTGTGTGTGTGTGTGTGGTGTGTGAGAGAGAGAGAGAGAGAGAGAGAGAAAGAGAGAGAGAGAGAAGGTGATGAGTGGGGCAAGGGACCAGCTTCTCTCCAGAAGTAACTAGAGCAATTAGAAACAGCTATGGAGCTGGAGGAAGAGGCATAGACAGCCCCTTTCCTTTGTCTTTCCATAAGACCCCTACCCCCCACCCCTCCTAGGTAACTTCTCTGGCTGTATTATCAGCTTTCAGGAGACTCCACCCTGCCCAGTCTCAGTCTTGGGACAGTCCCTTTTCCTAGAGGGGTCCATCCGCCTCCCCTGCCTCCCCCCAGTACACATTCCTCCTTGTTGCTTGGAAGCCCAGGGACTGGCCTGATCAGGCCAGGACAGCTGTGCAGGCTGAGCTGGAGAGGGTTTGGTGGGGGAGGGGGAAGGGACAGCAAGTGCCTTGCAGCCCCACTGGACTAGCAGAACAAAAAGGCCACTGCCTCCGAGTGCTTGGGCTTCTCTGACCAGAGCTGAACCCCCCAGCCCCCACAGGCTAAGTTTGGGCTGGGCCTTCTGCACAGGCCCCTGTTGGCCCAACAGGGCCCTTTTACTCCTGCTCCCATCCCCCAACCCCAAGATTAGCAGCAGACTGAAAGCCCTGGACACAGATTGTCATCTCTTTTTGGACCACTCTTAGTGGAGACAGGAGAACGGGGTTGGGGGACCACCCTGGCCATGGAGCAGAGAAAGGACATCAGAGAGGCATCCCAGTGTCCATTAGAGGGTGCCTTGTTGGGTCTGCCTGATGCTAGGCCTACCACAGCCTCATAACACTCACAGGAAGAATAGTGTCACCCCCCTACTTCAGAAGAGGAAACCGAGGTCCAGGAGGTGAAAATGTGCCTAAGGCCATATTCAGCAGCACAGCAGAAAGTGCACAGGCTTCCTAGGTGCAGAAGCCTACCCTGATCCCACAGCGCACCTCCTCTGGGGTGGGACATACCAGAGTCCGTGGACAGGAAGCTCCCACTCCTGCCTCAAGTGCAGTCAGCCCCTTCTGAGTCCAGGCCCCAGGGGAGAGTCCCACCACCTGCTGGGGGATCAGCTTTGCTGAGGGGCGTGTCTGCAGCTGCCCCTGAGGAATGGGACTGGAATGTCCCAGCTCCAAAAGAGGAGGCAGTGGATGAGGGGAGCCCAGGAAGGGGACTGGAAAAGCTGGCATACCTTACCTAGCCCAGCTGCAACACTTGAAGAGGCAGAGCCCAGTGTCTAACCCCTGCATAAGTGATGCTTTGTCTCACTACATAGTCACAGTTGCACAGCACTCTACAGTTTTTCTCGGCCCTTTCATTTCATCATCTCATCTCCACAACAGCCTCGTGGGGACAGGTAGGATAGCAGGCCAGAAGAAGGAAGCAAGTGACCCAAGATCCCACAATGACGAGCAATCCCAACTCCCTGGGCAAGATCCTCTGTATTGCACATGGCTATCCCAGCCAGCGGTCACCAGCTGCCCTCCATAGGCACGCACTGCTGTCTATGTATGTCTGCCCAGCCCCCACACCTGCTTCTCCCAAGGGCATGTGCAACCAGGCTGGTTTGGACTCCAGTTCCCTCAGCGGAATTCCTTCTGCCTGCCCCTGGGTCAGGAAGGAATCATGGAAGCTCTGCTGCACGGGACTCTGAGCCCTGGAAACTGCTAACTCTAGAGGCGGTAGTGGGAGCAGGCTGGCGGCGCTGTTCATTCAGTCTGGCACATACACACCCACACATAGCCAGCCGGCAAAGGAGCCCTGCCCAGGAGGGCCCTGGAAGGAGGCTGATCACCTGGCCCAGGATGGCCTCCTGCCTCTGCTTCCTCCCCAGGCTGGGCAGGGAGAAAGCACAGTGGCTAAGGCCAAGGGACGGCCAGGCTGAGCCCCAGGCAAAACCAAGAAGAGCTCCAATCTGTTCTTGGGGAAGGGGGTGCTGGGTGGGAGACGATGGATCCCAGTTCTCTTTCTGGACACAGCCAGAGCCCTGATTTCGGGCTGGCCTGGGGCCAGCCCTTACTCTGGTCAAAACTTGTGGCCAGGCAGGGAGCATACTCTGGCCGCCAAGACCTGAGAGCATCCCTTATCCGCAGGTCGGGGCCCCTGGCGGCAGGCAGGCAGCTGCCGCCTTACAGGGCAGGGAATTGGAAAAGGAAAGGGGTACCCGGAGCGGGCGGGAGAGGGGTCTCATGGGGGAGGAGGAGGGCCACACGAGGTAGGCATCCTCACGGAATTTCCCCCAGGAAGGCTGTGGCAAAGGCTAGTCTCCAGAACGGCGGGAGGTCCTCGAGCTACCTGGGGGACCGGAGGGGACGTCTCTTCCTATCGCCTCTCAGGGGTCTGCCCCCAGCGATTGGGCTGGGGGGGCGGAGGCCGAGGTCAGACTCCCGCGCCAAGGGCGTCTGCCCCACCCCAGCCGCGGCGCAGGGGTCCCGGGCGCTGCTCCATCGAAAGCACGTTAGCAGCCGTTTGCAGAGAGCGGCATAACCTGCCGCCAGCCCCTCCAGAGGAGCGTTCGGGTAGGTCCCTGATCCAGCGCATCGGTGCCCGGAGCAGGGGCACCTGGGCGCGCACCGCACCCTGGCACCCCCGCCCACTTCTCAGATAGGAACCTGGCCAGGAGAGGGGCTGCGGTTTGGCCAAGGTCGCAGGGAAAGCAAGACCTCGCGGCCAATCCCAACCCCTGAGTCCAGCCCCGGCCCCTGGCGCGCCCCTCTTACCATGTTGGAGCTGCTCCGCACCCCTCGCGCGCTGCAGTTCCCTCGCACGGATTTGAATCCTCCCTTCAGGGCGCCCGTCCAGCCGAGACTGCGAGTCGGAGCGGCCCGGCGACAGACGCGGGGAAAACGCGGGCGGGCGGGCGGGCGGGCGCCAGAGCCGGATTGGCGAGGGAGGGACGCGCTCGGTAGCGCTCGCTCGCCTGCCCTAAAGGTGGAGGAAAAACCCGGCCTGACTCACCCGCGCGCCGCCAGCCCAAAGCCTGGCCAGGGCCCCCGGATGTGGGGGGCGGGGACGGGGGCCAACCCCCGCCCACCGCCAGACAACCTGAGCCCCGCCCGGGCTTGCGGCTCCAACTCCGCCCCGGTCCGACAAGCCCCCTACCGGCTACGACCTGAGACGCGCCGCCCGGTGCGCTCCGGCTCGGACCCAACTGGTCTGCAGCCCCAACGCGGCCGACGCCCCCAGAGCGCGCCCTCTCAGCCCCTCTCTTCCTCCTCTTCCCGCTTCTACTGCAGCTGCTGCTGGCCTCGCCCGCCCCTCTCCGTTTCCAGAACTCGACAGCTTCGGCAGAGGCACGTTCGGTCCGTCACCTCCCTGATCCTCGCCGCCTCCTCTTAGGTAAGTATTATTATCCCCTTTTGAGGCTGAGGAAAATAGTACTTTTGAGAGATGGAGAGATTTACTCAAGGTCTCCGGCTCCTTGACGACTGAACTGGGCGCTGTTGGTTTTTTTTTACACCAAAGCCTTCTAGGGGCAGCAAATTCAGATGCCTTCAGGGGCCAGACAAATAATGTGAGTCAAACAGTTGGGTGTAAGGCAATAGAGGAGATGGAGACAGAGACAGAGAGGGACACCTAAAGGCATTCAAATTCAAAAAATTAAAACACCTGTGTCTTCCTGGAAAAGCTAAACATAGAGTTACCGTCTGACCCAGCAATTCCACTCTCAGGTATACACCCAAAAGAAATGAAAACAGGGATTAAAACAAGTACACCAATGTTGGTAGCAAGACTATTCACGATAGCCAAAAGGCCAAAAGGTGGACGTAGCCCGACTTGTCTATCACCTGATGAATGGATAAACGCATGGTGGTCTATCCATACAATGGAATATTATTCAGCTGTTAAAAGAACGAAGTGCTGATATATGCTACAAATGGATGAACCCCCAAAAAAATCATGCCAAGTGAAAGAAACCAGGCACAAAAGACCAAATGTATGATTCCACTTATGCGAAGTAGGTAAATCATACAGACAGGACAGATTAGTGCCAGAGGCTGTGGGGATGGAGAAATGAGGGGTGACTGCTAAGAGGGTATGAGGTTTCCTTTTGGGATGAGGAAAATGTTTTGGAACCAGAGAGAGGTGGTGGTTGCACAGTATTGTAAAAGCCATTGCATTGTACACTTTAAAATGGTTAATTTTGTGTAATATGAATGTTATTTAAAAAATAAAGACATCGGTCATACATGGATCAGATTTGGACCGTGGTCACCAGTTTGTAACCCCTTCTCTTCAACGCTGTGCTTACCTGTCGACCTGAGAAACGTCCAAACCTGTAAAGAATTTTTATGAGTTTATTTGAGCCAAACTGACAACATATGCCAGGGAGCAAGATCTCAAATTTCCCCGAGAATAAGTTTTGCAGTTTCTTTTAAGCATGTGAAATTAAGGAGAGAACATAAGGAAAATTACATGGAGGTGGGGAAATTGGCAAGGTGGACTACAGCATGTCTTAGAAAGTGGAGTCTGAAGGGGGGCATTTCAAAGGTGTGTTAACCTACCTGCACAGAAACAATGGGCAGAGCTTGCTTAAGGCAAAGATAAGCCTTTTACTAAACAAGTTACAGGCCTGGGGCATGACTACCCACCAATACCCGCCCAGTTAGGAATTTATGATCAGATCACCCTGTAAGCTGACTTTTTTTTTTTTTAAGATTTTATTGGGGAATTGGGGGAGGGGAACAGACAAGTTGCTGTCCTTTTGTTCTGTCTAGTTGTGGAGGACGTTGCTTCACTGGCCCATGTTGGTATAGTGGTCATTGCACTCTTCCCGGGTGAGGCAGATCAGTCGCCAGCCTCTGGACGGCCGCTCATGGTGGCTCTTGGCAGCTCATGCCGGCTGCCCGCTGCTCATGCTGGCTGCCAGCCACACACAGTAGCTTATGGCAGCCCACTGCAGACTCACGGTAGCCCAGCTCCAGGTCGAGCTGTTGTTCACCATCTTAGCTGTAGAGGGTAGTGTCACTGGCCCCAGTGTGGGATCTGAACCGGGGCCCTGCTGCTCAGAGCTGGCATCCCAAGCCCAGCTCTTAACCAATGCGCCACTCGGCCGGCCCCTGTAAACTTACTTCCCATAGAACCCCTTTTTGTCCACATTTCTTATAATGGAAGTGCTGGACTTCAGAGGACTTGTCTATTTAAGAAAACTCAGTAACTACTTTGGGTGTCAGCCCTTAAGAAGCCCCCAGTCTGGTAGGGTTACAGGTTGTTTTAAAAAAAAAAAATTGAATCGAGTAAATTTGAAGATCTGATTGGCTTTATTAAGCGATTCATGAATCGGGTAGCATCCCATCTGGCAACTAGAAGGGCCCTCTGAGGTGCACAAAATGGAAGGATTTTATAGGAAGAAGGGTGGGGCAAGGGAGCTATTAGTGAAAGAAAAGAAAGGATTCTTTTTGAGCCAGGACATCAGTACTTTGGGAGAAGAAAAAGGGGAGGGTTTTTATTATGGAGACTGGTTCTTCTTTCTCTGGGGGTGGAGAGGGACTGTGTGACAGGCTATTGGTGCTTGACCAGAAAATTCCAGACTGGTTGATTATGATTATGTTTCTGGGAGAGGTTGTGTGGACAAAAAAGGAGTTCTATGGAAAGTAAGCTCACAGGGTGATTGATTAGATTCCTAACCTGCCTGTCTTGGTGGGTAGTCACACCCCAGGCCTCTAACTTCTTTAGTAAAAGGCTAATCTTTGCCTTAAGCAGCCCTGCCCATTGTTTCTGTGCATCCAGATTGACACACCTTTGACATGCCTCCTTTCAGACCCTTCTAATTCATGATCACCCTCAAGAAAATACATAATTTAACTACCCTGTAATCCAACCCTCCCCCTTGCCTTTTCCCACCTTCGTGTAATTTTTCCCTTAAATTTCCTCAGTCTTAAATGCATAAAAGAAACTGCAAAACTGTTATTTTTGGGAGCATTTGCGATCTGGCTCCCCAGCATATGTCATCAGTTTTCTGCTCAAAGAAACTCTTATAAAAATTCTCTACAGGTTTGGACATTTCCGCCAACAGTTGAAACAGCAGTTAGATCAAGTATTAAATGTATTGGGTGGTCGGAAAAGTCATGACTTATTTTTGCAACAAAAAAACAGAAAAATATACATCATGGGCCGGCCGAGTGGTGCGTTGGTTAAGAGCTGGCTTGGGACAACAGCTCTGAGTTGCAGGGCCCGGGCTCAGATCCCACATTAGGGCCAGTGACGCTGCGCCCGCTACAGCTAAGATGGTGAACAACAGCTCAACCTGGAGCTGGGAGGCCGAGTCGCCATCAACGGCATAGGCTGCAGTGGGCTGCTGTAAAGCTGCCATGAGTGGCTGGCAGCCGGCGTGAGCTGCCAAGAGCTGCTGTGAGGGGCCATCCAGTGGCCGGCGACCGATCTGCCTCACCTGGGAAGAGCGCAATGATCACAATACCAACATGGGCCAGTGAAGTGACGTCCTCCATGACTAGACTGAAGAACAAAAGGACAGCAACTTGTCTGTTCCCCTCCTCCAATTCCCCAATAAAATCTTTAAAAAAAAAAAAAAAAGGCCTTGACTTTTCAGACAACCCAATAGGTTTGGTATCATGGGCTTTTAGCACAAATGATACCATTTGGGGGCTTCTGGTTGTTTTTCTTTAACAAGATAAAGGTTCAGAGCAAGGACACTTAATCTTTTTGGGGATCTGTGGGAAAGGCCTCATTGGGGAAGTGGCTTTTGTTGACATAAGAACGTCCAAACCTGCAGAGAATTTTTATATGAATTTATTTGATCCAAAACTGATGACATATGCTGGGGAGCAATATCTCATATGCTCCTGAGAATAAGAGTTTTGCAGCTTCTTTTATACATTTGGAACTGAGGGAAAGGAGGGAAAGTAAGGAAGATTACATGGAAGGGGAAGAAAGCATGGTAGGGATTGGATTATATGATAGTTAACAAGATAATGTGTGTTCTCTTGAGGGTGGGTACCTTGAAAAAAAGACTTTTCAAAGGTTTGTTAACATAGATTCGCGGAAACAATGGGCAGGGCTGCTTAAGACAAAGACAAACCTTTTAGGAAAGAAATTATAGGCCTAAGGTGTGACTACCACCATGATCTCCCCAGTTAGGAATTTATGATCAGATCACCTGTGAGGTTACTTTCAGTCACTGGATTTGTCAGATTTATTATAGAACCCCTTTTTCCTCCACACTTTTGAGATGGTACTTGCAGGATGGAAAGCATTTCCGTGAAGAAGGGAGTCGTGGAGCAAGCACCTATGGCTGGAGAAGGCAGGGCACGTCCTGGTGAAGGCAGGCTAACTGGTGAGCCTGGAGCCCTGGAGGGGTGGAGGTCAGTGGGAGAGAGGGGGCACAGGCAGCGCATTGGAGCAGACCCAGAAAGGCCTCTTGAAATAGGAGCCTCAGAGGTGTTGAGAGAGGGAAGCGTGAGGCGGCATGTACACAGACCCTGTGAGGTGGTCCAGGCAAGGATACGGGTTACGGGAGTCCCCGGGAACATAAGCCAGCCACAGAGGGCTGGGCACTGGGAAGAGGAGGAAATGGGGGGCATTCATGAGATGGTTTGAAAGAATTGAATTGTCTTGGCTAGAAATTACATGAAGAGAGTGAGGGGATCAAAGAGAAGTTCTGTGAAATCTCAGGTTCAGCTCCTCCCTTTTCTGTTGTTACAAACCCCGTGACTGGTCCAAGGTCTTCGGACCCCCTGGCCAGTGTGCTCTCCCTGACCCAGGCTGCCAGAGGGACCTGGGAGAAGAAGGCTGTTCAGTCTTGGAACTTCCGCAAGAGAGAAAGAAATCAGCAGACACCCTGGAGCCTAGAAACGTCAAAGACAGAAGAGGGAAGGTGCAGCAGGGTCCTGGCTGGATGGAATACCTGAAAAGTGGCTGCACGCCAGAGAAGGGCAGGGGTTTGAGGTAGAGGGCAGCCTGGCTCCATCCCTCTAGCAGAGCTGTCATTCAAAGAGACAAAGCTCAGGTCCCCAGCCCCCTCCAGCCTGGAGCAGGCTACCTGTC